GCAATGTAGATTTGTTAAAAATCAGTATATATTGTCATTGAAGCCGCAAGGTAGATGAATTCAACAAGGGAAGAATGCAAAGGAAGAAGACAGAACCCTGGGAACACCAGCATCTTAGAGTAGACAAAGGCCCCTTAAGACAGGTCTGAAAGGAAATAGGACTAGCCAGAGAGGTCAACAGACTGGTAGCTGAGAGAAGAAAGTTAGGAAGGAATGAACAGTGTCAAATACAATGAAAGGATTCAAAAGTTTGTCAGATTCAGTAACAGCAGTCTCTAGTGACCTTCATCAGAACCAAATTACTTTACTTCGTTTTAATTTAATAGGTGGTACATTATCATTTTAGCCAACATTGTTGAGAAAATGTGCTTACTGACCATGTGAGTTTATAGATAATTAAACTTTATCCTTATTTTTATTGGCAATCTTTTATGAATGTTCTGTGCTTCTGCCTTGCTTAACTATATACTATTTATGCTTAAATGTAGCTCTCAGAAGACATGAATGTTTTCTTAATGATTCAGCATAATCATGAACATGACACCAATGTGTTCTAAAACAATAATGTAACAGGTTGTCTAGGGACATTTTCTCTATCAGATAGTTCCACAGTGATCCTGTCTGCTGCATACACTGTTTGCATTCCTAAGAAAACTTATATAAATTGACTTTTTTTTAAAGAAAAGGTAAGAAGGCATGTCTTTTAAAACGCTCTTTTTTTTTAATGGAGAAAAACAGACTAGAAAGTTTCAAACATAAGTTTTAGTTTGAAGTTTTTCACTCTAATTTCTTCAGTTTTGTTTGTTTATTGGCAGATGTAGTTCTAAAATTTAAACTTCACTGAGAAAAATTTAGTCTCTATCTTTTGCTCCAAAAGTAATGTTTTTTTTTTAACCCTGTTACTTCCGGCACTTTCCTTAGTACGGTGTTTCTTATATATAAAGATCACCATTGTTAAAACAGAAAAAGTACTTTGAACAAAGCGGCTGTGTTTGCTTAAGGGAGCAGTGCTGGGTTTTCATCCTGATCACATTGTGAAGTGCGTTATAAGCATAATGCAAATATTTTCTTAGGTTTTAACTGTTTTACATAATTGAAAATCTGTATTTTACACACCTACGTATGTAATACTTAATATGGAATGGATAATTCAGTATGAGCAGTAAGTAGTATCTTCTTCTTTGGCCCTGTTTCACCATAGTTTTGCTCTGCCTTAACCATCTGTACTTGCTCATACTCCTGACCTGCTAAGTAACCTGCCCCTGTGCATTAAAAGGGAAAATAAATATTTATAAGAAATAGCCTGTGGTGGTGATCCAGAAAGTCTTTGAACCTAGAATTTGATAAACCTGTGTTTTAGCCCTGGGTTTGCCACCACACGTTCATGTGATCTCAGCATGTCCTCTAACTTCTCAGAGCCTCAGTTTCCTTATTTATAAAATGGAGTGTGGTTAGACTTGGTCAGTGGATCTGAAATGTTACCTCAAAAGATATTAATGAATAAATTTTATCTCTCAAGCACTGCGTGGGAAAGGGGAAGTTATGAATCTCTGGACTAGGTGAATTCTGTGTTTAATTAACTAAAACTATAAACTCTGGACACTGTTTCTAATTTGGAGGATCAGGCTGAAAGAAGAAAATTATCTGGGAAGTAGGTAAGCAGTGGCCTAATGAGAGGCCAGAGAAGGGCCATGAACGTGAGAAGAAAGCCTTAGGGTACTGAGTAGGTGAGATATTAAAGAACAGTAGCGGAATGCGGAAGTCCACCATAAACTTTCTGCCCGTGATATTTATTTCCAGACTGGTATTCCACATGCCACCTCTGACAGGAGGTATCCTTCAGAGATCTTTATTGAGATAAGACATTGAGGCTGCATCTAGACTTATCAGGAAAGAATGTGATGAATTTTCACTGTCTGGATTGGTTGTGGGAAGGCGAAATGAGCCTCACTCTCCCTGCAGTTAGGCATGATAAAGTGCATGGGCTTGTGAAAATTGTTTCATTAGAGAAATAAAATCCTAGTGAAGAACAGACAAAAACAACCCTAGCATCATTAATATAAGGACAAGTAGACCTACATACCTTAGTAGCCCCTAGAGAGCTACTATGTTACAAATTATAGTAGTTGAAATGATTTCCTGACCTATTAATAAGAAATCTTAAATTTAATATATATAAGTAATATTGCTTTTGAGAGCTGAGAAATGTTTGGAAATTACAGATTTTTTTAAACAGGTTCTGATGGGTACTTTACCATTCTTTTACTCAAAATATTCATTTTTATGGATTAATGACAGCAGCAAGAAACTAAGAATGTATTAAATAGAGGAAGCCTAGACTCTGCAATTCATTTATTTAATCAAATACCATGTATCTCCTCTACACCAAGCACTGTTCTAGGCGCTGAGGATGCAGCTGCTTTCATGGAGCTTGCATTCAAGTAATGGAGGTGAACAAGTAAATAATATATGTCAGATAGTAATTAGTGCTTTGAAGAAGTGTAAGTAAGAGGATAGAGAAATTGGGGGGGTTACATCATCACGAAGGCTTTCCCTCTAACATAATTTGAACAAAGCCTTGAAGAAGGGAAGGAGACCAGGAAATGTGGCATGTGTTACTAACATATTCTTATCAAAACAGTTGAAATAACATTTTAAGACTTAAATTACTACATTTCTCATTTTAGATAAATGACATGTTTTATTTTGTACATCAACAAAATTAAGGTTTGTTTGGTTTTGTTTCATAATGTCTCCATCTGGAACTTTAAAAAGTGAATTTTAGTTAATACCTAAATATGGACTATTCAAATTATTTGTCAGATAAATGGAAGAATAGGAGTATATTGCTTACTAATTAGTTATGGTCTTAAAACTATCCTACAATTTAGTGTGGATAAAATCTTTCAATCTTTATCTTTTAAAACTGCCATTCTTACTACCAAAAAATACTCAATTATCAACTAAAAAACATAATTTTTGTGTAAAACTTCAAAAACTGCCCATTGAAAACCATGTGGAATGGAGCTATTTTGGTTTTTTGTAACATTTCTTTTTGTGTTCTCTTCTTACAGATTGAAACACAATTAGCAGAATATCATAAGTTGGCTAGAAAATTAAAACTTATTCCTAAAGGTGCTGAGAATTCCAAAGGTTATGACTTTGAAATTAAGTTTAATCCTGAAGCTGGTGCCAACTGCCTTGTCAAATACAGAGCTCAAGTTTATGTACGTAATCGTGAGTACTTCAGGAGGTTTTTAAAGGATATGATTAATGTCTGGATCATATATTTACAAGAGTTTAAACTTAAGCATGTCCATAACTCAGGACTAAACATAGAAATACAACACTGAAACTTTTTGTCTTCTTTCTTCCTGGTAGTAGAAATCTCTCTATTGTACTTACTCTTCAAATTATAAAGCCTTGTCTTCTCTCTACATGCTTTATCTATTCAGCTATCCAATAAAAGATCTGATTACATATAAAATAGATGCCAAGATTATAAAGATAAAAAAAGAGCTGACCCTTGTTTTCAAGTTGCTGCTAGGGGAGAAAGACATAAAAATAAATGCTATACATGTATTTTATTAGTCTTTATAAGGTATGGTACCAAGATCAATTCTTCCCAGAATTAGGAGAAAAGAAAAGTCTCTGCAAAGATGGTAAAGCTGGAGTGAAATTTGAAAGATGAGATACTTATGGGGCTGGTCTGTGGGAAAGAGTTTCAGGCACAAGGACACACATGAAAGCATGAAATACAATAGAGCATTATGTAACACCAGCAGTCACTAATGAGAAAACTGCACAAAATTTTCAAATATGGCCAAGAATATAATTTGGGGAAGAAAATTTTTAATTCAAACTTCTTAATTATTCACAGATTTTAGTATTTTAGTGACTCCCCCAAAAAAGTCAATTTTCAAAATTTTTTTAAATTTTTTTTAAACATTATCTTTTTTGGGGGTGGACGGATTAGATTTATTTATTTTGTTATTTATTTATTTATTTTTAATTTTTTAGATTTTTTAATGGAGGTACTAGGGTTTGAACCTAGGACCTCCAGCATGCTAAGCATGTCCACTGAGCTATACCCTCCTCCATCAAAAAATGTCAAAATCTAAAGCCATGCAATTTTTTTCCCTTGAGAATCACTCATGTATTCCATAAATTACTTACTGAATACACACTATTTTCCTTACCAGCTAAGTGCTGGAGATGAAATACCTGGAAAGATACAATTCTTACTTTCACAGATTAGTTTACTGGTGGACAGACTTTGATTAAATAAAGCTAAACTCATTTTTAATAGAAAAAGATGCATCCAATAAACATTTAATCTTTTTCTGTATTGTTTCTCAACAATAGCTAGGTAGGTA